TAGAACCAACCGCTCGTACCATCTAATAATTTATTATTGGAACTTTAGTCTGGTGCTTGTTAGTGACTCAAAGTGGTGATTATTGAGACTGTTAATTTTATCTTCGCTTTTCTCTGTGTTTATGGCTTTTTAACTTTTCCAGAAAGAATCTATGTAAATGAAGAGAGGCTCATTAAAAAAATTCCAGTTTTGTTAGTTTGATAAAATAATATCAACCGTAATATAATTTTGCTCGGTTTGTTTTGTCGGCTATTTGCGGTCTAAAAAAGTTGCGAAATTGACAACACCTCAGAGTACGTGCATGAAATTCTCGTATCATCTCGATACCTGTCTAAATTACTAAAATCGGCTCTGATTGATTCTGACATTTTGTAAAGTTATTTCAGGAGTGCTCTTAGACCGAATATCACGGCTGTTATGGCAGACTGTTACAATTGTGTTTACGAAGTGCGGAGAATTTCATTAACGTACACATGTATATTAGCAAGGGGTGGTGCGCGGTGATCGGGGCATTCTGTTATTAGTTTTGTGACGCTATTAGTAGGGTCCTGGTGGAGGACAAATTGGCTGGAATTATACTGGTCCTGGTCAGCGGACGGGAACGTCACCGCAACATCGAGTCGCGCACTTTGTTAGTAAATAACTGGACAGTTGCGGCCTCCGGAAACTATTGCAATATCCCGGAACTCCGCCATAAGTACGTACCATTAGGAAGTTAATCCAAAACCAACATTGTTAATTTAACGGAGGGTGGACGGAGTCCACCTGGTGGAAGTTTCTCGTTTAGATTAATTCCAACGGTTTGGTAAGAATGACATTGGATGGGCTCCAGGAATGAACACCCTCTCTTTCCGGTGAAGCACCGTTTGGAATTACTTGAGTTATGGAAATTAGCTTAGAACAGAATTTCTCTCAAATTATTTTAAAGTCATAAATTTCTAGTTTTTGTAAAGATTTTGAATTTACTGTAGCCAATCTCGTCCTGATGGAGAAGTTGTGGAGTGGATTCCGGATCGAATCTAGTTACGGCCGTGTGGTGGTTGCGTTGGAAGGCATTAGCGGAGGTTATAAATTCCCTCCGCCGACGCCACAGGGACTAACTTGTAAATGAATTATAACATCTGAGGCATAATTCATTCTGATACTGACAGGATGGACACCCGGTAATGCGGGTCCGGCTACAATTTTAATGAAATCAGCCGCCAGTCAAACTCATCCGGATTTTTGTTTTGTCTAAAATCAAACCCGAATAATGAGTTTAATTATATCGGCTATCTAGACCAGGTATTAAATGCGATTAAATTTTCGACATATTTCCACCAACCTTTGCAAATATCAAAACAACATTTTTGAGTAGAGTTAGATTAATTAATTCAACAACGCGTTTGATGTAAAATTTCATCGATGACCAAATACCAGGTCACACCATTTTCTGAATTATAAACTCGGTTTTAATAAGATTGGTGAAAAATGACGTGGAAATTTATCAAGTGAAAAAATCGACGCGCACTTTTAATTTTCTCGACACGAAATCTTTTTTGTCCATCAATCCTTTTATTATATTTATATTTAGATATTCCCCACAATTGACAAGAGTTTCACTTTTTCAATAACAAAATAATATTTTATATCGTAAAACCACGGAGCTACAAACACAACGCTGTAATGATGTTTTGTTTTACCAAAAATTAAATAGCGTAATTTGAAAAAATACACGGATGTACCAAATTTTAGAAAACGCTAGTGACAGCATTTCAATTACAAGCCATTACTGATGCTGAGGCTGAAATGGACAACAATTAACTGAATAAATGATTGTTGAGGATTTTACACGAGCAAAATATTATTAAAAAATTGCAATTTTTGATTTAATTCAAAATTGGAATAATATTATAATGTATTTAAAAATACGTAGGCAAATAAACAAAAGCCAAAATATTTACATATTTACATACTTTGTTTTCACTTTTTTGTATTTTTGATGATTTTTTTTTGATAAATATGTTTTATCTGGAAGCGTGTATTAATTATTATTACCCTAAAACATAAAAATCGTTATTGGAAGTTTTTGTTTTAAATAAAATGTACCAGGAGCGGTATAAATGCAATAAGCTTTTGAATGAAATGAACTGGATTTTTGTGAGGGTTTAATGTCATAATAATGTAAAAAAAAATATTTTTACATTGGTGGAGTTATAAACGGTTTAGAGTAAGTTCTTTGAAGAAGAATTTATTCTGTTGGGAGACTGTTACAAGTTGGTTCATTACGGGAAACTACCAACTAGATGCCATCGGCGGCGCGCATGTGATTTAATCCCAGATACAGTTTCGCTGGTATCATGCCGCCCCAATTAACCCTTTAATTTATTATTCAAATCTACAAACGAGGCTTTATAATATAACGGAAACACAATTTGCATCGCATTATTGGGTTTTGTATCAATTATATATATTTTTAATCGGCCCTAATGCGATTAGGTTTAGTCGCGTATATAAATTTATGTGTAACATAGACAGGAACACAAACATTGGGGAAAACACCATGAATGCCTCCATACCCATTCGGCAAAAAATTAATCCTGCTCGTATTCGAATAAATCTGAATGGGAAAACTGCACTGTGTGATATAAACGTTACAGGTTCATTAATTCGGAGTTTAATTTACACTGAACGGCAGGAGAGATTTAATTTACGAGTGCTTCGGACCTGGCAGGGACACAAGCCACGACTTGGGACCTGCCAAAAGCCCTATCGATTCATTTTTCAATCCTCTCGACGAGGATTTGGCGTTTTAGACAAGCCAAGTTTTCAACCAGCGACGAGTTTAGATCGATAGTCCACAAACGCTACACCATATAAGCACGAGGAATGCTTTGAATAATAGGTTTTACTGTAATTAGAAAAATTTTAAGTGTACTTTTTAGAATACGCGCCCAGAAACGTAAAAAGTCTAAAACAAGTGGTTTTATCTAACAGCAAGTGTTTTTTGGGAGTCAACCTCTTAAGGTAAATCCGGTTACTCTAATTTAGTCTGAAGTAGGGATGTACGCCCATAAAATTGCGGCGTTTGCTCGTCATAAAGGGGTTTGAGGCAAAACCGGATGGTTTAATAAAAAACGACCCGGAGCTTGTCTTCGTTGAGAAATCACTCGTGTTTCTAATAGATTAAAAATTCATCTCGGTACAAAGAGACTTTTTTATTCGTAAGTTAGTTAGTTAGGGCTGTGGTTCGTCCACCCGGGGAGCAGTAATTCATCCCCGTTAAGCCTGGTGCGGTCACCGGAGTCCGGCACAACCACGACCATTGCCATTGATTGGCACGGAATCGCGTCAACTTATCCTACCGGGACATTAATAATGCACCCAGCGGGAATTCGTTATAAAGCTCGTAAATCCCGGCTTTGCATATGCGCCGGTATATAATAAATGCGTACGAAATTCCGGTGGAAAATCAGAGATCAGACAATATGGAGAATTGAGATTTCCCCAGCGATTGTCTTGCAAAGTCCCGTCACACCATTCATAGGCAACGTGCGAGGCATCGCTTTCGGTATTGTAATCGGACTGTGGTGTAGCGCTTTACTCGCTTCCGGATTTTTATAGCCGGAACCAGAGTCTTCTAGCAATATTTCAATAACGCTAAGTGATGCACCGTCAGCTATTTACACACTGAAACCGACGCGGTTTCCTACTCTAGAGAATTGAAAGCCAAAAGAAAAAAATTGTGCGACGCGAAAACTCTTGGAGTGTTGATTTTGTCTTCAGCTACTTACTGTATTGCTTTTACAGCAAGACTCTCAACCTCTTTCAAAATATACGCCTCAAGAGGGAAAATCTACAATCGAAAACTCTTTCTCTCAAAGCATTATTATTAGTTTTTAAGTTTTTGAAAAAATACAAATGCTAAATTTGACAACATTTATAGACCAGTTTTATGAAACATTTTTGTGCATATTGAAATGAAACAATTTTGAATATTAACATTGGCTGTCAGTTCATTCCAATTTAATTACTGAGTTAGTGATGCAAATAACCTAAAAATTCCATTGGCATATTTTTATAAAAAATATCAATGGAAATGCAAAATAATATAAATTTTTTTGAATTAAGCTGTCAACAAGTAAAGCTGTTTATTTATTCTTTACTCATAAATAAACTATTTTCTTGGAAATATCAATTTATTTTATTACCTAATACATTTACCATAATAATTTTTATTAACATTGTTGGATATGACAGAAAAATTGTGATATTGTAATTTGAAATAAAATCTATATAAAATATATTACAACACAATACAGATTTTATTTATATTGGAACACAAAATATTTCAATATAATTTATTTTATGGAGCAAATTATATTGTGTTGTTAATTATTTTTAGCTTATCAAAAATTAAATACACAGCTCGAACAGAAAATGCGATTTTTGATACCTTTCGAGTAAACACTCTACCTCGGGATATTTCTATCGCCACATTGGCACTACATTTTTTTTATTTGAAGTAGGTCAGAAATCTTTGATTTTTGTGTGCAGAATCTGTCATTTTATTGGTTTATACCAACCTTTAAAGAAACTATATTATTCAAACAGAAAAAAATATATAAAAAGTGACAAAAAAGCAATAGAAAAGTTCCGGGGTATATATGCTGTTTTTTATAAACATTTTTGATTACAACTAGAATTAAGAAATTAAAAAATTAAAATTATAAATTTACGCAAAACTATTCTGTTTGAACAATACACAAAAACATGGTATAATAAAAATCAACACTCAAAGTCTATAGAAAATGCATGAACATAATGCATACAGAGTAAGTTAACAGTAAACGACGACATTATGTTTTATTTTTATTATTTCTTCTTTCATTTACTGATGGAAAGTTGTGTAACAACAGCATTAAAAAGTAATGGCCTACTTTTTCGCGTTAGCTAAATATTTTGCTTATGAAAAGTTTAAAATGATTTATTTGCGATTTTTAACTTTTTATTTGTTTCAGGTGAGTGTGTGTGTTTCCCACACATGCCTAGGCTTCGCTATGAGCTACTCGCAAGGTTTGTATGGCTTTAAACGTCCAGCAACGCGGTATCGATCAGAAATCGCTTTCGAACACCTTTCTTACCCTAACACATCCTCCTATTGTGCTTGCACGTCATTAATTGAATTCCGGGCGCCATCTCCAACTCTGGTACCAATCGCCTCAAATCACTTCTCCGTAACGTGAGAAACGAGCAATCTTTTTGCAGTTCTCGCCAAGTAATCTCCCACCAAAACTATAGTTGTAAAGTTTTGACACAAATTATTATGGGCTTTAATTGCATCTGTGTGAGCTAACAGACAACAGGCATTGTGAATCAGAGTTAGTCCGGGAATTACGGATAATAGGCCTTGGCGAGGGCGCGCCTTGGGGATTCGTCCAAGCTAGGAAGTTGCTTCAGTGCTCATCCCTACAACGGAATAGATTCCTTCCTATTTAACTCGAACAAACAGATTTCGTTCCAGTAAATCTGCCCTGCCCTAGATCTATGGATTAGTCTTATTATTATCCAGATCCAGATGCGAGTGCTGACAGCGCAAATAATACCACCAGGAGGCTTTTTTCGACCACCACCTGTCTTACCCGGTTTTAATTTCGAGGGGATTTTTTTAGAAACTTGTCTAGGCACTTCGTGCGAGATGTAGAATACGGTCCCTGACCGGATTTTGCACGAAGTGCTTTCGCTATTATATAAGACCGTTGCGTGCTTTCATAACTCAGGACCTTTTCTTCTCAGGCTGTAGGAAGTCGTTTCGCTAACTTTATGTCTTTCATATTTCTTCATTTACAGCCTAGACGCTGCACTGCCTTTGGCTTTGTTTTGCTCTCTAACCAAATACTTATTTTTTGCTTTATACATTGTTGATGACGTTGCCATCTACTCTTCTACCTTGATAGAACTTTTGTAATAATCAAAACTTCGGAAAGGCAGTTGTCAGCAGATTTGTTTGTGGAGTCAATAGATTTTCTCGTGATAAATGACTGGCACGTTGTTTTAACATCTTGCGTTCCGTGCTGGATGGAATGTTAAGTAGATTTAACAACACAGAGAAATCGACTTTGCCAACGAATGTTTACTTAAAATTCTACAGTGCTTTTATCAGACAACTTATTAATTCGGATACCAAAGCCAGAGTTTCGGAGATTACATTACTTTTTATCGAAGCTATTTACTGTGGGGTTTCCGGAATAATAATAGTAACAATAACAATCAAATAAAAGAGAGTAAACAGCTCATCGCCTTAAACTTTACTATAAAAGCGGATTAGCGCTGAAATTTTAAAGCGGTGAATTCTCATTTTTTATATATTTCAAGAGGAAAATATTTATGTTGATCCAATTTGCACGCAAATCTGTTTAAATTAATTTACTTAGAAAAGTTTTTTGAGAAAATAACGCGAGTTTTATTAACTATTTTTTCTATATCAGGATATGAGAAAGAAAAAGAGAGAAATTATTTCTAGTCATGACAGAGCGGATATTGTCTTCTAAAAAAATATTTTACCAACGATTTCATATAACTTGAAAGTTATATTCTCTTTATAATCTCAAAGAAGTTAAGACACTAAAGCTATTAGTTATGTAGGATCCTAAAAAAGATTTTACCGTATTTATTATCCGCATTCAGAGAAAGAGCTTTAAAACTAAATGTTTTCACTTGTCAACTTTGTATTGATTGAAATGGAAGTGAAATTTGGAGCGTTTAATAGTATTGTGTGCGTGTGGTATCGAAAATGTATTTTTAATTTAATATTTTTTGTAATGCAGACTCAAAGGGATGAATTAAAACGGTACATTGATTTTTGATTTAATAATCTTTTTTACAAAACTAAATTTTATGCCACACATTTTTGTACAAAATCTTGTTTGTGATATTGAACTTGGTTTTACCTCATTGTAAATGTTTTCATATTTATTATAAAAATTAATGAGTTTATTTTAAATAATAAACTCGCCCGGCGCATCCGCCAAATTTGAATAAAGTGTAACGACTTCGTGAGGACTCGTTATAAAATTCTCTCAAAATGTTTTTGGGTGTCGGTTTGAGTGTGGCTGGTTGTGTTTTACGACAGGTGTATGATGACGGCTTTATTGCAGAGCTAATAACTCAGCAGCTGCAATCCGAGTAAACTTGGGTGATGTTGTTTTAAAATATACAGCGCTGTTGAATATAACTGTTTTCATCTTGTACATGATGAATTAAATTGCTGCTTTTGAAGCAAGTTTCATTTACACAAACACAAACAAAGATGAAACTTGCACGTGCACGCGCTTTTTTCATTGTTATCGTTTGTGCGATTTTTTCATGTGGAATAGAGCAAAAATGTTAGATCGTTAGGTTACGAGCGTTTCAGATGAATAAATTTTCTAGTGGTCGACAATGAAACAGTATAAAAACACCAATTATAACAAAATTAATGATTCTCATGTCAAATAAAATATTTCCGCCCGAAGTATTGCCCTTTAATTGCAACAAAACAGAGCAAGCCACTAGATGTCATTCAGGCAAATAAAAACAATACAAACGCGACGTTAATAATGACCATAATAAAATCTGGCACGTTCAATACACTCGATGGAAATGTCGAGTCAAATGCGCATTTCCATATCATTTGCTCGTTTAGACCGCCGCCAAATGGCCGTTTTTGCCCAGCAAAAACCAAATAAAGACCCGACTGATGCATTAGCAGACTCCCATCAGACGCGCCTGCAACAGCTTCATATCTCTTGCGAGGCACCTGATCTGCGGCAATTTCCCCCAAGACCGAAATTCCCCGAATTAATTAAAATTAATCGCCGCCAGAACAAAGGAGTTAATTTGATTGATTCTCTTGCAAAACATTGAAGGAAGCAACGGGAGGAAAGTGCTAAAGGTGTGGGCAAAAGTTAATTTCCGGTTCCCGTTCGAAGAAGTCGGAGCGAGTGTGATGGAGTTGCGTGTCGAGATATCTGACATACACATGTTGTCATCTCGACACGCTACATTTTGCCTTTTATATTTCATAAAATCGACAAAGGCATCTGAAGATTTGCTATATTTCTCTATAGAAAAAGAATCGATGTTCTGGCTGGAAAAACTCAGCTTTCGGGCATAGCAAGAATTCAGACGGGATATTACAAAATCGCCCGTTTCCACCGGCTTAATTGAATTTCTGCACAAATTTCAATATAACACATGGGATCGTGGTTCAATATAGGAATTTGTTTTGTCTTCCCCCGTTTTGTAATTAATCATTTACCTATATAAACATTTAATTTCGAGAACCAAAATTTTGCACCACTTGAAAGCGGCCACTCCAAACAAAATATTCTCTAATTAATTAATTATTACTTATTTATACGATGTGAAACATTCATCGAGTTATAATCACTTTTATACTTTATTCTTGATCTACCTCAAAATTTCGAAACTTCCATACCCAAATATTTACTCCAAGCTTAAACGGCTTACCTGAAAAGGGCTCAAGCAAACAAATTGATTGCTATAATATTTCATTTAATATTTTATCATCTATTTCACGCGATTACCTTTTATACCTTTTCTAGAAACGGTCTGTACCATTATAAAAAGGACATTTGCTTTTATCTAACTCTGTTTGTTCAGATCCTAGAGATTTTTAAACATTTAACTTTAATTAATTTCCATTTATAAATCTTTTACGACCATTAGCGGCAAAATTTAAGCACTACACCAAGTTTAGTCTTCTAAAGCGACTAAGTAAGTACTAAATAAATCACATGATTTATGAATTATTTATGAACAATAAATTACTGTGTTGCTTGCAGACACTGTCTGTCACTTCAGTTTTACAAGAGCTTATATTGCACCTCACAAAAGTAAACAAGATTCATCATTTTCAAATTCCTGCTACAAGTAAAAATTTGTTTTCTATTTTCTGATACCATCTATTCGTTTTGCATATTTTTGTACAAACTCATCACCAAATTTTAAATATGTAGCAACGTTATTTTTATACTGTCCCTCGAAGTCAAGCTTATGGATATAATTATTTTTACGTCGAACAAATCTCGTACCCGCTACACGTTGTTTAGCTTTTTTATCTTTATCTCCTTAAATCTCCCAGTATTAAGAAAAACAGATAGTTTTTTTTTATAAACTGTATTTACAAAATAAGGATGATCAAAGTGCTTTTACTTTAAGTTAGAATTTTTTAGTAATTCTATTAGGTAAATTTACAACATTTTGGGTTAAATGAATTTTGACGTGCAGGAGACCTGTTTAAACCTTCAAGATTGTCGAGTTAAGCTGCACGTTAAGTTTATAAATATTAGCATTTTTAATGGTGACCTTCCGTCATTGTTGACCCTTTACCTATCACAACTCTACAGTTTTATTTAGTGATTTTGAAATTGGAAATTTACTCCGGATTGAAGTTTAATTCTTGAAGTTGTGGCAAAAATAGAAGTTTAAGCAAGTAAAGCATCTGCTAAATGGCACAGAGGAAATTCCGATTGCATTCCGATTGATATTGCACAATAGAAATAAAATTTCAATCTCTCAAACCCAGGCGTTTCCTTGAAACTCGTATTTTGTCGACGATGGAGTATAAATTTTTTTATTTTGGTATCAAAATAACTGGTAATACTTTACTAGCAGGCGTGTTGTTATGATTTCGGTTCGATACAAAAGTTCCGTGTCCAGTTTCGACAGGATGGGGTTCCCACCCAAGGGCTGAAGAGATTAGAAACCAGGCTAGGCCGAGACTCGATTAAATCTGTGCTTTTGTGTTAGGGAAATGGGTTAATTTTCCGCCCATGTACCTCTAGGGATGAACGGAATTACAATGGAGGGTCGCATATCGTAGCCGTGCCTCTTATCGAACGCGATTCCGACGCCTCGCTACGATATTTGCCTTTAATTTAATTCCACACGTCCCGTATTCATATAACAAATTGAATGCAGTATTACATTTATAAGTCATTCGGAGGAGTAACAATCCACTTTAATTTTAAGCGCAGTTCATGGCGCGTCGCGCTACCCCGAAGTGTCAACAA